GAGAAGCCCCCACCAAGCTTCTTATATCTTCTAGATACAAGTTGAGTAGAAAACTTGGCTATGCCTTTACAAAATTGCTACCTTCGTCCATAAAAAAATTACAAGGAACAATTGTCTTGCTATCTTGCACAGGCAAATTGCTTAAAGTTGAGGGGATAGTCTTAAAATGATAAGTTCTCTACGCTTCGTATAAAAGGGTTAGTTGTATCTCTAAGGTATTTGTTGATGATAACTGGGAAGACGTTTTTAAGGATAAAGAGAGATCTGCTATATCTAGCTTTTCTCTTATGCCTGAAGGATTCTAGGTAGTAGGTGCGATCTGCGTTGCTATGCTTGTCGATCGTGGTCGTCTCAGATACTCAGACAAAATATCTTCGTTTTGGCCGGAGTTCGCAAAGCATGGAAAGGAGAATATAACAGTCGAGATGGTGTTAGCACATACGGTGTGTATTTCAAAACCTAAACGATAATTGAGTGCGAATGTTACATCAAATTACAGTCGGGGTTGGCTTGTCTTGATGGTAAAATTTCTTACGAGGATGCTTGTGATCATGAACGTATGGCCAGATACATAGAAGAATCGGTCAGTTGTCTCCTACCTTTAATTATTTGTCTCAGCTTTGATCATTCATTGAAGAAGCCAATTTGGGAACCTGGAAAGGCTGTTGGATACCATGCTCTGTCGTACGGATGGCTGGTAGACCAGATTATAAGACGAACGGATTTGAAAAAGAGAGGCATTGGACAGTTCTTTAAGGAAGAAATTGCTGACAAACATGGTAAGTTCATGAATGGGGGCTTTATTATGGTAGATTAAATCTACATCTTAAGGTCTTGATTTACATTTTGGCTTACCGATGGAAAAAGCATGGCGCGTTGCAAGAATTACGCGACCTACTGTCATCGACCGCATTGATGAGTTTGTTACGGATCCTGGTAGGAGCTTATGACATTCATTTAAAATCTAGTATCATTATCTTATTACAGGGAACCTAGACTACGGATTTATATTCAAACAGTATTTGCGTGGAGGACTGGGTATGAAAGTGGCTACGACTCCACCTTGGCTCCAAACCATCTTCGTACGTAAAAAAAA